TCTCTCTACAAATAGCAAAGTGGAATTTTAAAAGGTAAGACCTCAGTGAAAGCCAATATGAGAGAGGACGGGAAGATCATCGACAAAAACTTTATCTGGACTGTTAAGAACGTGATTGAGAGTGACCAACGTCACACAATATTTCAGAAATATCTGCAGTTTTGGGGGTTTAAAACAAACTAGAATACACTGTACTTGTTTTATAGATTTTAAACTTGACCAGAAATGTATGTGGATGTTTATGCTGAGTGGATAAGGTAATCCAATCTGTACAGTATGAAACTCTGAGGGAAAATATTGAGAAAATGAAAAATAAAATTTGTTATCATGCCCCTGACGTAGAAAATTTTACTGCACCATAATATCACGATATGTCCTGTTAAATCGGCCAAAATTGTTATCAGTTTACAACATTTTGATATGAAATTTTGATGACTATACAAGTAAAGATTCTTTTATATTATGTGTGACTTTTGCTTGATTATGTTGTCAAATATTTTTTCTGTGCAACAAGTCCATGTAATTTTTGAACAACCCTCGTATTAATAATACTTCAGATATCTAATACTGATGTTGTGCATAATAGAGTTTTGCATATAATATTACAATAACAATCCCTTTCAGTAAATTCAGTTGTTAAAAATGTAATCTTATCTGGAATGCTTTCTAATTTCTATGGAACCACTGGTGTCCAGTTTAGACAAGATTGTAGACCGGTATCAAAGTGAGTCAGTGTTATTGACCATTTTAAACAAAGTTTAGATTGGTATTGGTCAATAGCTATTTGCCAATTCAATATGGCAATCTAGGGGTTTGTAAATGACATCATGCCACAAGATTTTGAGCAACAGTATCCAAGTACATGTATCAGAGTTATTTTCGATGCCACAGATATGACCATATAAAATCCATCTTATACATATGTCAATTTTCAATTTTCAATTTTTAAGTATATTGCAGTGATCAATCGAAGCACATTTCACATGTGATGTCATTTTAAAAAGTTTGCCCACAGTGCTGTTTAAGGAATCTGAAGTTTACAGTACTATTAGAGTAAGCAGTACAATAATTTGTAGCCCATCATAACACACTTTTATAGGAAATTTCTTTAAAAATCTTTATCTCAAGAACAGCAGGATGGTGATAAATGACTTTAATATGCAAGCATCTCCAGGTAGTACAAATGCAAGTATCTCAAATCATGGCTCTAGGATTAGGTTGGGGCCACAATAGGGGATCAATAGTTTTTTCATGAGAATATAGAAGAAAAATGTTTATGAATCTTATTTTTTTCTTAAAAACAGCAGGATCATGATTAGTGATATTGATATGCAAGCATACCAAGGTCCTGATGATTCAAGTTTGTCCATATCATGCCCCCCCCCCCCCCCCCCCATGGTAGGACAGAGCCCACTTAGGGGATCATTGACAAATTTTTACATGAGAATAAATAAATCTTCTTAAGAATAGCAGGACAATTATTAATGATATTAATATGCAAACATCCTCAAGTAGTGCAGATTCTAGTTTGTTCAAGACATGGACCCCCAGGGACAGGGTGTGGCCACAATAAGGTACCAAAGAGTGTAGGAAAAAATCTTTAAATAATTCTTGTAAAGAACAGCAAGGCTTTGATCAGTCATATTACTACACAAGGATTCTCAAGTTGTGTAGATTAAGTTTGTTGACATATCGGAGGTAGGATGTCACTGTTGAATATGTAGTGAAAATGCATTATTTCTTTAAAAATCTTCTCTAATCCAAGGCAAATAAACTGAATGCATTGTTATGATGAGTAAGGATGCCTCTTCCTATATTGTGAATTTCATGGCCCCTGAGTCAGGGGTTCTGGTGTTAGGGTGGGGCTTTAATGATTACATAGTAAAAATGCAGTAATTCTTTGACAATCTTCTCCTTTTTTCCTGGGTATTAAGCCAATGAACTAAGAGTATAGCAATAGTGAGTATGGGTGCCTCTTCCAAAATTGTGATATTCATGACCCCAGGGTCAGGGGTTCTGGTGTTAGGTCAGGGCTCTGTTGAATATATAGTGAAAATGCATTAGTTCCTTTAAAAATCTTCTTCTTTGATTCGGGCTATTTAGCAAACAAACTGAATACATAGTTATGATGAGTAAGGGTGCATCTTTCCAAATTGTGAATTTCATGGCCCACAGGTCAGGGTTCTGGTGTTTGGGCGGGACTCTAATGATTACATTGTAAAAAATGCAATAATTCTTTGAAAATCTTCTCCTTTTCTCCTGGGTATTAAGCCAATGAACTAAGAGTATAGTTATGATGAGTTAGGGTGCCTCTTCCAAAATTGTGAATTTTATGTCCCCTGGGTCAAGGTTCTGGTGTTTGGACAGGGCTCTGGTGTTTGGGCAGGGCTCAGGGCAAAGTTGATACATGATACTCAGGTGACCTATAGGGCCCGTGGGCCTCTTGTTTTTTCATAGAATGTTTGTTTTATGTTGTCTGAATTTAACTGTAAACACACATTTGAGCACTGTTCTTAAAAATAGTCTAATATACCAATAAATCAGGATTTTTTTTCTAGGCCAATTATAGTAATTTATCAATCCTGAAACTAGCATCAGTGACAATCTATCTTATTAGCATCCAGTTTTGAATTTCTTTCACTTTGCTTCTCTTCCTCCTTTTTTATCAGTTTTATATCTTCAATGTTTACAGCAAACCTAGTCCTTCATCGCACCATTGAAAGAATTCATGTTGGTAAAAAGTATGGAGATATTCCAAGGGGCATTTTTGTTGTGAGAGGAGAAAATGTTGTTTTGCTTGGTGAAATTGTAAGTGTTAATTGTAAGTGTTTAACATTTTGTTAAGTCAGAGAACATTAACTTGGTTGGAGAAACTAAGAACTGTTATGGTTTGTAGGTTATAACCATGCTGACAGTTGACAGAAATTTTGTGGATTTATGGATTTCAACATTGCAATTATAAAGAATTCATTATTTACAAAAGTAGTTTATGTCGCTCTATTCAGTTTCTGTTGATTTTGTTTGTTTATGATATAATATATATATATATATATATATATATATATATATATATATATATATATATATATATATATATATATATATATATATATATATATATATACTAAATGAGATTGGTAGCAGTATTAAATTTCATTGGCACAACATGACGTAAGTTATTCACATGAACTTGTTTTATTTATCAAGATTTATCAAGGTATAGTAAAATTTTTTATGCTTACATGTGTGATTGCAAAGTTTCCGAAAACCATTGGTAATACCTGCAAAAACGGTAGAAAATTGAAATGTCTGATGCAATTTGCTATATTACCGGTCCGGTGTCTGATTTTGGTTCGGACACTGTCACACTGTGTCAGACACAGTTAGATTATTTTAATTAAGGGGGGACTTTGTCCGAAAAGTCTTTGTGTGAAATTTTTAAAACTTTACATTTCTTTCCTTGCAACTTACCTATAAATTTTAGGCAATAAAAATAATATCTTTATGCACTAATTTTTACACAGAAGCACATGCAAAAACAGTGAGAAATGCTAAAAAAAAAATTGATTATAAGGACAAGTGCACTTGAGCAATGCTTAATGGGCCCTTTTTCAGTGCCGTATTACTTTAGAATATATTGCCAAATTGTTCTCTCTTGGTAATAGTTAAACACAAGTGGATATTTCTAGTTAAAATCACGCTAAAACATCACCTAAATCAGCACGTATTTGAAACAAATGAAGATTTTTAAATGCCTATAGATACACCAAATCCGGAAAAGTCGTACCGAACCTATTTGAGTTTCGTCTATTTAAATCAAGGGGAGGAGACATTTAAATTGGACACTTGAACAATCTCATGGTGGATCATTGACGGGCATGTTTGCCGAATGATACTTCTTGCGCTATTTTACCTGAGAAAAAAAATCGAATGAAGTTGTATAGATGCTTGTAGCCATAGTGATCAAACTAAGAAATTTGCACGCTTGCATTTGAAATAATACAATAAGTACTAACATTAGTTCCTTTAAATTTTAAAATGAAAAAAGTGTATTTAGGTGACTTTCAATACCTGTAGCATTGTCTTGCATGAATGTTAAAAATGTTTGACGCTTTTATGTATGATGACTTTTTAACAACACTAAACTCTCCTAACCCTCCCGTGTTCCTAAAACCAAATACATACAAACTTCTCTATGCGGCACGACTTCGTTATAATGATACAAAACGTGCATAGCTATCTTTTACAGTGCGCACCTTTGAGGAATGATTACATAAGTAGAACTCACGTGACTACCGGTATTTTAAATAATTTATTCCACGGGTGGGTTCAACAAAGGTCATACAGGTAAATAGCTTTCGATTGCTATAGGAAAAACATTGAACTTTTCATACATTTTTAATATTTTAAGTACAAGCCTAATCTTGTACAAATTTCCTACTCTCACACAAGTTTTATAAATGTATAATGCGCTTTTTGTCATTCTCACAAGTTTGTACAACGTTAGGCTGACAGTAAACAAAAGCTTTGAAATGAATGACTGTCCTCGATTTACTATAGAAAATCACGAATGTCGGCTGACCCCTACCACATTGTATGGCTTTGCTCTTTGTATATTCATAAATTTCAGCAATAAAATTTGTTGAATCTTATGGTTTAGATATCAATTAATGATCTGAGATGAAAAATTATGCTTAATTTGATTCTTCATTTTTTCACATTTTACCGGGACCCTTAAGTGCACACGTTCTTTATCTTGCTTGAAGAATTATAATGGAGCACAATGTAAGCATCACCTCATTTTCCTTGCTTTTTTTTTTTTTAATAATTTCGTCATGTATTATGGGTAATATCTTAAAAAGTCTTTGTGTGAAAATGTCGTTGTTAATATGTTTTTGAAGAATTGAGTCATCTTTTTATTTAGATAAAAGAAAAAAGTATACCCTTATGAAAAAATAAATGAGAAATATGCAGTTTTCATTAATTTTCGTACTGTTGTGTCATAAATATTGACCTTGCTGCACTAAGACAAGAGTAAGTATTGATGAACACAAGAATATAAAACTATTTTGAGGAAAACAAGTATTTCATTTAGATTAATTACTATTTACACTGATTTAATCTTTTCTACCCGATTTCAATCATTCTGATCCCCCCCCCCCCCATGTCAACAACTAACACCTATTAGAAATGACTTGACAAATAAATTTACTAATCTTTTAGCATGGTTAGATGCAAGTACATTTTAAAAAAAAAAAATTGTCTTAGTTTTATTGTGAAAATACAAAATTAAGCTTATTTTCTTGTTTTAAGCTGCTTTGATTGCTGAATTTTAACACATCTTTTTGCACTAAACAGCATGCTATCAAAGTATTTTTCCTCAGCTGAAATTGCTATGATTTATCAATGAACAAAAGAGAATTCTTATAACAAATATTCTAAATCAAATAAAACTGTTATTATTTAAATATAAATTTTTTCTTTAATAACTATGAACAGTCCTTGTACATGTCATTAGCTATTACAAATGGTATATCACAGTTGCAAGCACATAAATGTGAAAATCAACAGGTGAAAAGAAACACTTCTATTGTGACATCAAATAACGCTGCTCTGATGTAGAACCTTAATTGTACTTTGATCTATTGCAATGTCTCAAGGGACGTGCAATTAGCATCGCTCGACACACTGGGCTACAATTTTTGGGGATTGGGCTAGTAGTTTTCTGCACAGAGATAGCCCAATTTGGCTAGAAAAAATTAAAACTTCCAATGCAAAACATGAAAAGCACTACATTGTACTGGTATTTTCACTCATTATTTGCTATTAATTTCCCAATGAATGAAAAATTACCAGGCACCATGCTTCTATTGTTTGTAAATCTCCATATTCTTATCCATTTTGCAATGCTAACTGATTAATGTGCTTCCAAAAACGATCATCTTTTTCCCTAATCTGAATTTCCTCCATTCCTAGATGTTTATGGTAAACACATGCAGATATCTCTTTAAATAATTTACGATCACTCAGTCAACTGAAAGATGAGTGTTATGTGATTTACATAAAATATAATTCCATGTTATTATAAATGATTAAAGATTTTTAAAAAATGATTTTAGCTTCATTTTAGATTAGCTAATGCAATGTCCAGAAAAAGGGAAGATTAATTTATTTAAATTAATTTTTATTTTCTATCATTATTATTAATTCATGCATGATTCAATTTTACAAGTGAGAATTAAACTTTTAATTTTGAAAAGGATTACCTTAAGACCCAGACTTTTTCAACAATAAACTATTTTTTTTCATATTAGTTGTTACTTCCCCATACATTTGGGCTAGTAACTTTTTATGTGGGGCTTATGACTTTATTGCTGTCACTAGCCCATGGGCTAGTGCTTGAATTTTTTAATTGCACACCCCTGGTCTCACAATCTATCTGTAATGATCCCTGGAAAGATTTAAATACTCAATTTGAGTACTATAAACCAACACCGTTTTTTTTTTAATTACATCATGAAATATACTCAAATTTATTTGGACTGATAGAATTTGCTTCAGACTGGTAGAGCACATTAAGTAATCAGTCCAAATGACTGATAGAAATATTTGGTTTTCGGAAACTCTGTGATTGCATCGAACGTTGTGTTGAGGCATTCAATAAAGTATGAAATACAAGTTTTATGACAGGTAACTCAAGTGGAGTTATTGTGGAATATTATATCATCTAAAGGATCACCTGGTTATAAATGGATTAAAGACCTATAGGGCCAGAATCACCTGGTTATAAATGGATTAAAAACCTATAGGGCCAGAATTGGTTTTAGTCTTTACAAAAATCAATTTCTATTCTGGTCAATGACTTTAGGTTAAATACATGTAATACTGTATACAGGGTTATTTTCACCCTGTGTTATTTTCGCCCTTTCAGACTTGCTAACAATTCTGCCCCCTTTTAAATTCGCCCAGTCACAATTCTGTTCAAGAAATCATACTGTGTTTTTTGAATTCGACCCGTTTTAAATTCGCCCACCCGTGAGTAGGGCGAAAGGGGTGAAAAATAAAACGGGGGTGAAAATTTCCCTGTATACAGTAATTCACTTCATATTATCATATGATTATTGATCATTTTATTTCATATTATCATTGATCATTTTATTTCAAACCAATGCATGTACATGTAGTATGTAGAGATAGGATGAATCTTTCATAAACTTTAAATATGTTGCCCTATATTGTTAACGTATTTAGTTTGTTATCTCAAAAAGTTTTTTTTGTTATTTTTCTTTACTTTTCATTTTTATGGTAATGTCTATAGTTATAATTCACTTCTTTATATGCATGTATATTACAACTCATTTCAGCTGAAATAATAAAAACATGTTATTATGGTATACAAATTATATATTTGAATTCCAGGGAGTGCAATCAATGTGTATACCTACTGTTTAATAGCATGGGATCTGAATTGAGACCATTGACTTCAAAAGTTGAAAGTACTGTATTAAGCTCAAACATTAGTACAAGCACTACATATACATTCAAACTCAAAGACAAGTACTAGTAGTACAGATGGAATAACACCGAATACACTGAATTGATGAAATTCTAAGATATCAAATTAATCAAAAGTATCCATCGATGCTCATTGCAGACAAGAATACCTGTTAAGAGTAACAAGATTGAATAATAAGAAAATATGCAACACTGAGGTATAGTTATGCTTGACTGCATTTTAGTTACATAGAATTTATGATTTGCTTTTTTAGCTCACCTGAGCTAAAAGCTCAAGTGAACTTTTCTGCCAA